TGGGGTGGGGCATGTTAACGTTCGCTTGCACTTGCGTCACGAAGTTGTTGCTTCGTGGTTGATGTGGGGTGACGCAAAACGCGTCGATCAATATGTCCGCAGTTTTCAGTTTCGGTGGAACAACCGAGGAAATTTGCTTGAGGCGTTGGCCCGAACGTTGCCGCAAGTGTAATTACAGAAAATACACCTGCAAAGCGCGTGTGCGCCAAAAAAGAGTGCACTTTCTGCTCTTCCCCAATCGAAATTCCACCTTACAAGTGCTGACCCTTGTGAAAACTGGGATGAAAGCACATATGACCCAAACTCTCCCAAATGAAAAAAAATAAAAAAATGGGAGGTTTTGAGCATTGTCCACTTTGGCAATGTGCGAATCGCACAGGGTCACTATTAGCGGCGTTACCTTGTTGTTGCTACTGCTGGTAGGGTTTTGAGTTGACAGGGGGCACTCGTTTTCAGCTTTGAGCAGTTGACCCAACATGATTGAAATAGTACATCCAATTACTTTGATCCTACTAGGAACAAGAAACTACTAGGAAAAGGGCATCGCTACTAGGGGCTCGTCCTTGCTCCTAGTAGCGATGCCAGGAGCCCCTAGTAGCGTCCTTGCAGCCCCAACGATAAGAGGACAAAAACCGATAATGATAACGATGGATGACATCATACGTTTTGACAGGGACATGTTGATTCAGGCCTGTGCATCCATCCGCTGGCATGATAGAAATCCAGATTCTCCTAGTTTCTTTTTTGCTTCCGCTTTTGCTGATGGCGATGTCTGTATGAAGGGTATCAGAATGATAACAAAAACGATAAGGTTGTGTATCAAAATTCCCTCAGATGAATGATGTCCCAGTATCATCAAAAAACTTTGCTATTTCCCTGTCCTTTTCATGTCGGATATTCCTGATCCAACAAAACTTGCGAGAACCCAACAGTTCTTCTTCGAGCAACGGCTGTTTTGGTGTTTTTTTACAGCCCCATGTGCAGGTCTATATCACACCCGTGAGACGCCATGTAGATGTGTTATGTGTAACAACATTTGGTGTGTATAAGTACGTCCAAGTAGATTAATCTTGAACATGTCACACAAGTTGATTTAAGCTGCAGGTGCGGCCTTGCCCAGGCGGCCTAGTGCGGGTTAATGGACGTCACGTTGCTGGCTCCTCAGTGCTTGGCAAGTTTCAATTTATACATGCGTAGAAAACACCCCAAAGGTACCAAGTAGCTTTTGGGGGGTTTAGCAGATGTATATTTGTACGTATAAAGCCATAAGCTCCCTTTCAATACAGTGTTTGTGCGATCACAATACACCTTCTCTCTCGACCAACGTGCTTGGTTCCAACTCAGGAAAAGAATGGCCACTTACTTCAAAGTGGAGATCGGCTGGCCATTGGACTGGGTGCCAAGACAAGTCGGCATGGAGTAGCACTCTGATGGACAATGAATATAAATATACAAGGTACTGACAGCAGCAGGTCCTCACACTGCTTTTGGGCACGCGATACCACGGTCAAGACTTCATTGTTTTGCCTGCGGCAGTAATGTCAAAGGGCAAGAAGACGGGCCAAGTACATCCAAGTACCATAAGAGGTTGCGCCAACTCTTGTATGCTTTGCAAGGCCGTGCTCACATCTTCAAGGTTGTCATTCCAGCCAGTGCCTCTGAAGAGTGCGCCGGGCGTGAGTTGAGCTACGGGCAGCAGAATTTAGGTTCACGCTGAAACCACTTGGAATTCTTGGAGTGCGTCTTACTTTTGTTGTGTGAAAATGGTCATCGTGGCCAGGAATGAAAAGGAGGAGGACTTTGAGGAGGCTCGGTTTCCAGTTGGGCCGAATTGCGAAGGACGCATCACTCTAAGGAAATCCACACATCCCGTAACTAAGGAACATTCCCGAAATATTGAGTAGTATAATGTAATATATTAGAAGCATATTTGTATAACCCAAACTATGTTTGTTGTTGGTCTTCTGAACTGCCCTTCATATACGTACTTGGCGTGCGTGCAGCTTCATCTTAGATGCGCTTGGAGTGGAACGTCATTTAGCCCTCCACCCAACACACATCTATATTATATGTTGTTGATAATGTTGCGCAACCAACGACAACGTAAAGTGAGAAAACGTTTGCAAACCACAAACATCTACTGTACTTTGCAGCGTTAACGCTCTCCTCAGTGGCCCTGCGGGTACTTCTCACTTCCACGGCTCATAGAATGTGCAAAAAGTGACAACAGTGAGGCGCCTCCACCATCTTTTTCAGTTGTGGTTGGAGACTGACCGCATTAAGACCACCGTGGAGGAGATCCATCTCTATGGATAGCCAGTGCATTAAGTTGCGCTGCAAACCAAGACCTGCGGAGGTGGGGAAAAGCGTGGCTAGCGGGAACTTGATGATGGAGCGGGAGTTGAGTGACTTGTACGCTGGAAGGGTAGCGCTGACGAAGGCCAGCCTCAAAGGATGGAACTTCGTGACCCTGCATGTCCAGGCTGCTTTCCTCCTAGCGCAAACCATGGCACTTGAACCTCTTGCAAGGTTCTAGATGAAGCTGGGTGGTGGCTGGAGCTGTACGTCCTCACAACAGCACTTTGTGACTTTGCTTCATACGAGATGAACACCTTTCAGTGGAAAGAGCGCCGCAATGGGGAGGACCACAGCCTTCCTTGGAGGTGCTCCCTGATGTTTGCAAGGGCAGCACTGAAAGATCGACCGGCGCCGCTTCAATGATTACATTACGACTTAGAACCTGGTAGACTTCTTCTTTGCGGAATTCTGTGCCTGGTTCCCCAGGCGAAGACTTGGATTCGTCGCATTTTCAAGATCCAAATCCCTGATGATGATGCGATCTGGCTGGGTATTACCCAAGCATTATTGTGGCTTCAAGTTGAGAACGTCGTCTGCTACCTACCGGGTTGGCTTTTGAATTGTATTGGGGCACGTGACGGCGCGTGTGGTCGGAAAACGTCGCGGAGCTGTGGTTGACTCGGATTTCAGAGGGGAAGTAAAGGTGGCCCTTCTGTTGCGGAAGTAGAGACCATCGGCAGCGAAGTCGAAAAGGGCCATCCAGCTGTGAGGATCTTCTTTTGGCGCCTTCGACAATTACACCTTTGGTGGCTGAAAGTGCTGCGTTGCAGTGGTTGGACACGGCCCTGATCTTGCTCCTAGGGCGGGGCGAATCAAATTTTGTTCTTGAAACTCATAGTGTGCCTGTTGCAAGAGACGAAACTGGGGAGTCGGTGACTGCTGGTCCTCCTGCGCTTGAAGGTGAACCTATGGCAGATGAGTCCTCAACCCCGTAGACTTCGACCCCAGGTGATGCTGCGAAGTCGGCTTCAACTTTGCCTCACACCTCCCGAAAAGCTCAAATTGGTATTTTGTGGAAGTTCGCGAATATTCTCCACTTGGATAGGTTGGATGGTTCTGTCACCAAAAAGGCCTCCTTTTGAACTGAAGCAGAAGAAACCCACACCGGCCCTATACGCAAGAAAGGAAAGCAGCCCGTGAACGCTATATATATATATATATGTGGCTGCGCCCGCCCACTGGCATAATGGAGGTGGAGGAGGGCGCTCAGCAACCACTGCGTTTTCGTTTTCCTCAGTGGAATGGAAATTGGGTGCTCCAGAAACTGAAGTTCAAGCTTCTCATGGGGACGAGTTTCAAAGGTTTTCATAACCAGGAACAGAAGAACTGAGAAGGCTTGGGCTAAGGCTGGTTACTTTTTCATCAAGATACGGCACGGATCCCACTGGAATCAATGGGAGGGGAGAGTGCGCCGTCAAACCTCGGCTATGTAGCCCGCCAAGAGCGTTTTCACATGATTTCGCTCAAGGAAATATTGACACAATATATATATATATATACACACTGAATTTTAAAGGTCATGAATACATGCTACAGTAGATGGACAATATACTAAAACCCCCGAACTGGGCAGCTGTCATTAACCCCGTACCCGCAAAGTTCAATGTTGAAATCAGTTTTTGTCAACTTGCCTTGAGGCTTGACTTGTGTCGTCCACTCGCCAGCAGATGGACAACATATTCAAACCCCTGATTCAGGGAGCTGTCGTTAACCCCTTCCCTCCAAAGTTCCATGTTGAAAACAACTTTTGTCAACTTGTGTTAGGGACTGATTCGTTTAGTCCATTCGCCCATACATTGGCAGACTTGACTTGATAGCATTGGGTTTTTGGGTGGAAGGGGTCAACGTGGCTTGAAGGGATTGAATATTTCTCCATCGACGGTAGTGCGTATTCCATATTTGTGCTAGTACATGTTTTCGCTGTCAGACGCGTTCGCTGTAGGATTGCCAGGCTTTCTTCCTGGCTCACATTTTTCACACGCCATCCATGTGGCCTGAACGCGGAATGCTGGCCATTGGTAACTAGATATGCCGGGTGCAATGATTTGCGAGCACGTGCTGCACGTTAAACGTGTAGGACACATTTACTCGGGAATGGACTTATTCACCTCTTATCAGCTGTCACACGCCTTTTTCGCATACGGGCGAGCAAATGCACATTTGTTTTGATTTGTTTCACTACGCAGCATTTGTGCATGAACCCCGAGGCCTTGAACGAGCTGCAGAAGAATAGCAAGGCCTGAGCTCATGATGGTTCAAAATAATTGTGGTTTCTGCGGTTATTTGATATGGTTCAATAATGTTTGCCGACAAACATACAGATGCGCATCTGTTTTTTCGGGAAGAGACACGTTTCTCATGCAAAACCTAGCAAGCATAGACCCTTTGGCTCCTTGTGGCTCGTGTCTCGCACAGCGCCTCCGCCTGGCTGCCATTTCTATGACTATGGTTGGGTTGTTCATACGTACCAATACCAATGAGATGGGCAGTGAGGGTTTTCCTCAATATTGGTAGGTCATGTGTGTGATCACAGATGCCATACCAGAAAACCATTACTTTGATTCACAACGCCGCAGTGGCCAATTCCTGATGAGGTTTTTGGGGTCAAAACCTGTAAAGGAAGATACTTTTCACCTGTCTGCACCGGACATGTTCCACTTAGGCTGAATTCAGGTGGGAGACAAGTCCAAACATGTTTGTTCCTCTTTTTGGGGGCCAAATCCATGCACGGCCAATAGCGCATGACTCATGACCGAAGACTATTTCATCCTGATACGGAGATTGGTTGGTCGCCTCCAAGCGATTCCAATCAAGACACAGCTTTCGAAGCTCAAACCAACCGGGCCACGAACAACCGCTGGATTCACTCGATGTCTCAAGTGGTTGGAAGTTTGCTGCTTGGATCCCCACTGAACATGCCAGCAGTTGAAAGTTGTGAGAACGCTGTCCCAGCACCCCGACAACTCAAAGGCATTTTGATGCATTTTGATATCCTGGTCTCAACAAACTTGTTGACATATGGACTGCGCTCAAAAAGCCCTACTCAAAAAATATAGATAAACGTAAACTTTTAAGGTTGGAGATGTGTTTTTAAGTCTTCGTTTAGAAGCGGGCCCCCAGCAGACTATGGTGATACAGCAAGGCAGCGCTAGATTGGCGCTAGGTTGGCGCTAGATTTCTTCATAACAGGATAAGCAAGCAGGAAAAAGAAACAAGCAGAGAGCAGGAGCAAGACTAAGACAAGAAAAATAAAAAAGAAGAAGAAGAATGCACAACAACAAGAAGAAGAAGACAAGCAAGCAGGACAAATAAGAATCTGACAGGATATAGAAATCGACGGATATTTTTGCGCTAGGCTGGCGCTAGATCCGCGCTAGCACCGCGCTAGACGACGGTCCATTTCTTGACCATTTGCCCATCCAACATCCAAATCTTTTGAGTCAGCTCTTACATCCTTCCTACGTCGTCTTGAAGATTTCTGAGAACAAAAGTGGGGAAGTCCAGCAGCAGCAGTAGCAGCAACAACAGCTCCAGCAGCTCAACGAAAGGGTCCGCGCTAGACACCTCTCACAGCTTTTGCAGTTGACACGCCTTCATGTTTAACGTCCCTGTGGTTTGAGTGTGCTTGGAGTTTAAAGGAGATTTAGAAGCGGGCCCCCATGAAATTGCGATGAGTGCACCATTTTGGGAAAAGACATTTTGGAAACCATCCATATGCGTATACACGTATATATACGCATATCAGTGTATAACCTTAAAAGCACCACAACGATGCCAAGAGAATATCTTGCATCACTGACATCCCACGCCTGCTCAAGCTGTATTGCGATAGTGTTTTTGCCCTCCACATAATCATGCTTCGCAAGTTATAAAACGCTCAGCTCAGCTCCAGGTTGATCGAGGCATCAATGCAGCCGTGACTATGGTGCAGCGCGAATACGGCACGGAACAGGCTGCTCAAAATAGGGCACACGTTCTTTCTTTTTACCATGTTGAACAATGTTATTTTTTGTTCCGGACACAACCAGGCCAACTTTCTGCTGGAAAAGGCCAAGAGAGCTAATGAGGCAAGAAGGAACGCCGTATGGCTGTGCGTTAAAATTCTTTCAAGTCTGCAGCTTCAGCTTTCACTCGCAGGTGGTTGGTGACGCCAATGCTCTCCTGAAGAGCATTCCGCAGGAGAACCATATTGTTCATGGGCAGACACGTTGAACATGGTATCAATGGTTGGCGGCCTTTGCTATTATTAGGTTGGAGGAGGCCATTGCTACTAGGTTGCAGGCAATTGCTATGGCTATTAGGAGGCCATGGCTATTATTAGGATGGAGGCCATTGCTATCGTGGCTATTAGGTTGGAGGCCATCGCTATTCTGTTGGAGGCCACGCTTTTAGGATGGAGGCCAGCGCTATTGGGTTGGAGGCCATGGCCATTAGGTTGGAGGCCATCGCTATTAGGATCGAGGCCATCGCTGTTAGCATCCAGCAATCGCTCTTAGGTTGGAGGCCATCGCTATTAGATAAATGATTGCCGTCTTTTCGTTTTCCGTATCCTGCTACTGCCCTAGCTTCTCTGCTCCCAGCCCCGCCCAGCCCATTCCGGACCCCCTCTCCTTTGCTCCCTGGGCTTACGAATGTCGTCTCTATGTTGCAGGCCCGCAGACTGTAGACCCTAACTGATTGTATCTGATTGTATAGGTTGTTTTATTCTGTTTTACTTGTTTGTTCGCCATTATCACACTTATCACTGAATGGTTGGAATCGACTGAGGGTTTTGTAGGATTTGTTGGGTTTGGCAGCTTGCAGGGACAAAAGGGCTGAACAGAAAAGACATGACCTAAGGCAACGGCAACATTACAAGAATCTGGCAACCAGGACTAGTCAGATAATATTCACACTGCTTATGTCGGAAGAGAATGGACAAAAAGAGGGGATCAGCAGAAGTTAGTCGGAGGATGTCGGAGGTGAGGTTACTAGTGTGAATGGTCATTAACCTACATGTCAATATGTGTCAAGGGATGCTGATGCGGGGCAGGCGTGGAACAAGGAGGTTTCTCACTACGAGTTGGCTGTGCTCTTCGAGGCAGCTTCTCTGAAGAAAGGAATTGTGGCCTTGCTCGCACTGTCAAGTGCAGTTTGCACTTTGAAATGTACTTGAGGCTCATGGGCCAGAGGTTTGTGTCATCGCGAGACCCAAGGCACGCATCAGGGACACGACAACACAGGACAACGCACGACAACACATGCCACAGAGAAGGAGTGTTGTGTCTTGCAATGTCTTGCATTCCCTTCTGGTAGGAGTTGTTCTTGAAGGTCTGCTGGCTTGATAGCATGGAGATGGTCTCCATGAAGGATATAATTAGTTACAAGGAATAGGACATGAGGAATAGGACCGAGCAGCCAGACCAGTTCCGCCAGGCTGGTGCAAGGACCGTCATGCAAGGACAGTCTTCGAGTGACACGGACCACCAGTGATGTTTCCCATACAAATGTCACGACGTGGGGATCAGAGGATCATTTTTTGGATTCAACCACCAGTTGTGGCAAGACAAGCTTTGTTTGGTGCACTGGGCTGCATGACGCTGACCATCTTGCTTCGCAGCAACATTTGACCAAACATCTTATTGTATAAGTGATACCTCACAGCGAGTGTTCAGCAAAACGAATTCCATGAAAATAGCCCAGGGAATGAGCATTTGCTTCACATGATCCAGCGCACATTTGTCTGCAAGGAACACCGCAAGCGCCTGGCATCAGTTTGGGAATTTGGGAGGCGCTCCATTCGGGATAGCTGTGCACGAAGTAGGCAACGTTGCTTGAAACTTGGAATTTCGAAGAGGTTGTTTAAAGCAAGCAACGTTGTTCCGAAGTTTACTTGAAAGCACAGCAACAGCTGTGGTGCGCCGTGTCCATGCAGATTTGTTTTTGTTTTGAGGCACGTCGCTTCGAGGATCGGTTTGATTCGATGCTAGAGGCGGGTGCAAGGATGAATGAGTTGGTTGCCGGGCACAAGGACAAAATTACAGCAATTGTTAAGTTTGCCCAAGAATCTAGGAACCAAATCAATCATGCGAGGGTTTCAAGGAAGTTCCCCCCGCCCTCAGGCGGGCGGAAGGCTTCCTTGACGAAGGCTCAGCTCTTCTGCTACAAGCTACGTAATAGCTACTAAAGCTCCTCCTTGCCCCTTACTACTATCTAGTAGGTCACACGTTGGTATTAGTTGCAGTTACGTATCGTTGGTGAGCTCGTTTTTGTGAACCCTTTCAGTGTTTTTAGGCCTTGGTGTTTGAAAAGTAGGTGAATTACCTGTGTTTTAGGGAGACAAACAGCATTTTACCCTGCAAATCTCAGCATTTCTACCCCGTTTCTGTGGTTGTTTGTTTCGACGGCCGAAGTAGTTGCACGAAAGAGGGGTCCCAAACACTCCAAATCTCTGTGCGGCGGTGGTTGCACAACAAAACCAAACACAAAACCGTCGAAACATCCGATAATGTCATCCTCTCAGCCAAAAAATGCAGTGGATAAGATACAATGTCGGGAACGCACAAATACCTCGTAAATGCACGTCATGAACAGACATGAACGATCACATGTAACTATGTAACGTTAACATCAGAGAAACCCTCATGTAACATCAACATCATGGTGACCCCCATGTAATGTCAACATCAGCCTAACCCTTATGTAACCTCAACATCACCGTAACCCTCATGCAACATCAACGTCATCATCCCACCCCACCCCCACCCCCCATACAACATGAACATCACCGCAGCATCGCAAGCTATATGTAGTGTCGAGGGCAAAAAACGCACAAAACGCAGGGCCGTATTATCACCGTGCCTCCATCTACTTACCCCTTACTACCGGCCTACCCACCCCCATAGAAAGCTAGTATTGGTTGAGAAGGAATATACATGAATACAGTAGTCAACATTAATGCGCCAGAATTTGAGGCACCTGATACGATACCATCAGTGGATGTTTCCCATTTTGCATCCATTGGCTTATTTTGCATCCATTGTCCCGCAGAATGTGCAAATTCCGTACGGGCGCACAGCTTCAGCGACCTTGGCAGACTAAACCTCTGCATTTTCTGTATCAGTGCTCCTGTAAAACGAACTGAATAGAGATGAAAGTCATTTGGTCAGGCTCAAGAGCTGATCATGGAGCGCAAGTCCTTTAGGGCTTCTAGCAGAGACTTCCTTGGAACTGTACAGGCCAGTGCAGGGCCTGTTTTGCTTTCAAAGGGAATGTGAGGGCATGTCAAACAAGTCATTACAGGGTTTCTTGGCACATCAGCGACGGCAGCTTGGTCACCGCTGCGAAGCGGCGTCGGGTGTTGGGACCTTGCAGGATGCTGTGAAGCCTGGCGACTGGGAACTTCATGTTTGGTCTGAAGTACCGTTGGATTGCCTCCGGCAGCTCAAGAAGGAGATCCATGCCGGTTGTGGAACCCTTCAAAATACAGTGATAGACTATTGGACTTCCCAAGTCTTAAGACGAATTTGCATGCTCGTCCCGGAGGCAGACGAAGCCAGAAAGAAAGAGCTGGATGAGCAGAAGAAGGAGAGTCTTGCGTTTGTGTCTACAGGTATACTGAGCATCTCACTTGAACGCGACACACATCACAAATCAATGATCATCCTTTGCGAGAGGACTTCAATATCTGGCATTGGTTTACCGGCAAGAAAGAAGAAAGGAAAGAAGAACACGAAGAAAAAAAAGATGACAAGTGCGAAGAAGTGTCTTGGACAGCACAAAATTGACATCGGTCATCCTGACGAATGGGTTTCTGCATTCTAGCCAGCACAGAATGCCATCGCTACCGGTTACCAGTTTTGCAGCAGATTGATCAGCCAGTTTTGCAGGGCCAGCAGAATGTTTGGTTGCGCACATTCACCCAATTGTTGCTCTGGCTGCAGAAGTTGGGGCTGCCTTGCTTCGTTCAGCTGCCATTTTTTAAACATGAAATGAACTGGTCACCACTCACGGTTTGAAATGAAGCACTTGGAACCAGGCACGATTGGCAGTGACATTTCTTCTTGGTTTGATACTTGCTATGACTAGATGTTCGAAATTATCACTTCAACGTTCAAGCTGGTCTGGAAGATTCTGCAACTCATTCAGGATAGGGCTTTCCAATAAGTCAGAGCGTGAGGAGGTGCGCTGGCGGGAACGGGAGGAGGTGCTGTTCTGGATGATGTGATGAACGCGTGGGAGAGGTCAACAAGGGACAGGGCGGGGGTTGCCTGATACTCGGAGTGTTCATTAAGTCGCAAGGGTTTCTCAACCTGCTTGTTCTTCGGAGAAGCATTATGCCTCTCCGATACTCAGGTTCCCGTAGCCTGAAACCCACTGTGAACATCAGGTGATGGCACCATTACACTATATGGGAATCTTTTGGAATCGTTTCTCCATGTTTCACCTGTAGCAACAAGAAGCATTTTAGATCCTTTTGGGTCTTTGAAGCTTTCTAGTAGCTAGAAGCTACTAGGTGGAGGCCATCGCGATTAGGTTAGAGGCCATCGCTACTAGTAGCAAGAGGCTTGCTTGTTTTGAGAGATCGACTTCAAATTCGATGGGTGTTTGCTGGTCGACCCGCTGAACGCGATTCGTTGCTTCTTGTTCATGCTGCACTTATGTTAGTTTCCCTCTCCACCTAGTACGATTTCTCAAGGTTTTTTGGTTCATTCATTGTAGCATCAGGATCAGACAGCCAAGTCCAAAGCAGCCCCTCCAAAGGCTGGAGCTGAGTTGCCATGATCAGTTGCATACATACACATATATATATATATATAATACAGTATATGTACAAGTGGTGCAATGTCAAACCTTGAAAAATCTTGTGGTTTTCTGGTTTGGGAGAGTGCTGAAGAGTTTGATGCGTATGCAAACCTTTGTGATTAGTGAGTTGGTAACAGCTCAAGACAGCAAAGTGTCCTTTTCTGTTTCGCAGGTGCAGGCCCGGAAGCAAGAAGCTTCCAGGTCCTCCTCCGCAGCAAGACCCAGGAGAACCTTGCTGCCAGGCTGTGGTAGCTGCAAAATAGAACCCACAGCGAACGCTTATATAGCTCGAGCTGCATTTTCGTGGACGGAGTACTCGGTGAGTTTTATCACAGAGTAGGCTGGTCTCGCCTTGTCACTATCAACCCACAGGCTCGAATAGGAGTGCATATTCCTTGTAGCTCCTGTCAGGCCATTTGCAAGTCCCGGAAATGTCGCCCAAGCGATCAAGCTCTACTTCTTCCATGGGAAGAGCCTCTGTGGCCAGTGCAAACCCACCATCCCCAACGGGGAAATGGGTGCCACCAGAGGCGGGGCTGGACCGGGGTGGACCGGGCATGGATCGGCCCAAGGAGTGTTTTGCTGTCAGCCTGGAATGAACCATCCAAAGGAAGGGAAGGAAGAAAAGAAGCAAAGGAAGGAAACATGACAGGTCAAAAGATCAATGTTCCCCATAGTTTAGGAAGCAACACAGCACAAAAGGAAAAGGACGACAGTGACGACAGCCGCTTCTTTGGTCAGCCAGTGAATGCAGGCTGTCTACGTTGCAAAAAAGGCGTCAAGACATACATCTCAAGACCCTTGCCATCAATCCATGATACAAGTGATCAGTTTGTCAAGGACTTACTCGCAGAGAAGTTTGGCGGTGACATTCATGTCGATCCCGGCCGTCTAGAGGCAGGGATTGTGGGCAAGGCATGGCAAGCAAAGCAGTTGATTGAACTTCAAATTTTGATGACCCTGTGACCTTGTGTGTATGGTAAGCTTAGGCAATGCAGCTCTAGTAAGCAGTTGCAAGATATTTCCTGGTCAGGCTGGCTCAATCAGGCGTGCCAGCAAGACGGGGATTGAGACCGTCGCCCAGGATTTGCTCGTGCCCGTTGAGGATGGGCGTCAAACAGTGCTTTGGACCTTGAATGTACTGCGTCAGATGGAGATGGGTATATAGAAGGATGTAGGTTTGAATGTACCGGTGTTCGCGGTTGGTCGGGGTAGGCAGGAACACCAACCCTCTCTCCCACCTAGCATTAATGTGTACCTTGTCAGTTTGGACTCAAGTGCGACTCGCATTGCGAGCTTTCCTTGCGCCTCTCTTTATCAAGCTGAACAAGCCAGGGTCACGCTTGCAGTGTCTGAGTTTGGGGCAATTAGAAGAGCTGGCCATGATCCTGGGGGACGGGCTGGTAGTCCAGTCTGCTGCTGCAAGAAGCGATATTCAAAAGGGGTGGCGTTTGCGCGCTGTGGGTGGCAAGACAGTTGATTGTGTCATCAATGCACGTCGTCTGCTGCAACAGCCCCGAACGATCACGGGCAAGATTTGGGTCCGGTTTTCGGCATGGACTCCCTGTGTGGATCTGGATCCGGTTTCGTTGTCCTCGTTGCACACTTTACAGCGGGTGTTTTGCACCAACAGTTTCTCTTGGGCCGGTGAGAGGGTGGCCGAGGACACTGCGGCGGATGCCTGGGCCGGGTCTGCTCTCTCAGGCATAGGAGGTTGGTTTCGTGCCTTGGAGTCAAACAAACTGTTTTGGTTCCACCTGGAAATTGAGCAGGGCCAATTACCCGATCTTTGGCAGTGGCCGGAAAAGATGCAAGCAGCTATACGTGCTCTGGAGCTTTTAGCGCAGCTGGCTCTGGTTCTGGCTCGCGCAAAGGTTGATGGGAACGCACAGTTGCATTGTGTGCGCTTGCGACAATATGGCGACAACATGCCAGTGGTCGCGGCTTGCAGTAAGGGCTTGTCCACTGCGCCGCCGCTGTGCTTTGCGCTGATGGCCTTGGCTTTTGCGGCTTTGGAGCTACAAGTGGCCTTGGAGCTGTCCCATGTGGCAGGCGAGCGGAATGAAGTGGCTGACTTGCTAAGTCGTTTGAACCACCCAGAAGCGAAGCCATGGCCCTTGGTCATGAGGGCCAAGTTCCCTGAAGCAAATCGGGTGCGTATCACCTTGGCGGACGTGCTGGCCCCGTGGTACAAGTTCATGCAGCGACCAAGTTCGCTAATTGAATTCGACCGTCCTTAGTTGTCAGTTCCCGTAGTTGCGGTTGCGTAGGCTGCACAGTCACCCAAATTTTTGGGGGTTTAGTAGGCGCGCCTGTGCAGAAGGGTACCAACAGGCAAGTTTGGGGAGAAGGGAAGCCTGTTGGCAGAGTCCTGCATGGATGGCTTGTC